AAAAAAAAAAAAAAAAGTATAATAATGGGGGAAGAAAACAGACTCTTTTTGTCTACTATACTCACAACACTCCCGATAAAATACTGTGGTCACCAAAATGCGGGACTGCTTTTCCCCATAAAGCAATTCTCCAATTTTCTACAAACACCAGCTGGGTGTTCTATAGTTCAGCGAATTCTGACACCATCTAATGGAGTTAGAATGAGATCCCACGAGATAAGGGCTTAGTCACATGTTTGACCTCACTTTGGCTGCCAGTTTTGAGTGCAAGCTTCCAGTACTTCTGACAGGCTGGCTATACATTGGGAGTTCCTATAACCTCCTCGTATTTGGTCTTTTGCTAGAATGGCTCACAAAACTCAGGCAAGCGCTTAAACTTATTACTTCATTTTAAGGGATATTACAAAGGATATGGACATTACAAAGCAGGGATATTACAAAGGATATGGACATTACAAAGTAGCCAGAGGGGACAAAATGCTAGGTATGGAAGAACCAAAATAATGAAGCCAGATGGAGAGGTACATGGAGCAAGGTACATGGGAAGGGGCATGGAATTTCTGTGCCCTCTCCAGGCATGCCACCTTTCCAGTACCTTCACATGTTCAGCAATCTAAAAGCTCTTTGAATGAAACCTGGGCACAAGAGACATGAAGAAAACAATACCAAATTACATTATAGTCAAATTATTCAAAACCAGTAATGAAGTGAATCTTAAAAGCAGCCAGAGGGGACAAAATGCTAGGTACGGAAGAACCAAAATAATGATGACAAATATTTTATTAGAAATAATGCAAGAAAGAAAACAGTAGAGCAACATCTTTAAAATTCTGAAAGAAAAAGAACTCTCAACTTCATTCTATACGGAGTGAAAATACCTTTTTGAAATAAATGTGAAATCAAAGCATGTTAGACATAATAAAGTTGAAAGAATTCACCACTAGAAGACCCATAGTGAGGCAAATGTTAAAGAAATCCTTTAAATAGAATAAAAATAATACCAGATGGAAATATGAATCTATAAAAAGAAATAAAGAGCATCCAAAATGGTAACTACGTGGGTGCATCTCTATACTTTTTCTTAAATTTTAGATCTGTTGAAAGATAACCAACTGTTTTTTTGTTTTGTTTTGTTTTTTTGAGACAGAGTTTTGCTCTTGTTGCCCAGGCTGGAGTGCCATGGCGCCATCTCAGCTCACCACAACCTCTGCCTCCTGGGTTCAAGTGATTCTCCTGCCTCAGCCTCCTAAGTAGCTAAGATTACAGGTGCCCCTAACCATGCCCAGTTAATTTTTTTTGTATTTTTAGTAGAGATAGGGTTTCTCCATGTTGGTCAGACTGGTTTTGAACTCCTGACCTCAGGTGATCCACCCACCTTGGCCTTCAAAGTGCTGGGATTACAGGCGTGAGTCACCGTGCCCGGCCTATAACCAACTGTTCAAGCAAAAATAACAATGTAGTGTGATATTTACAGCACATATCAAAGTATAATATACAATAACAATAGCACTAAGTTTGGGAGGGGAGAAGTTGAAGTATATCATTGTGAAGTTCCTAAACATGCAATGGTATCATATCACTAGAAGATAGTCTAAGTTAAAGGTGTATAGTATAAACCATAAAACAATGCTAAAATAACACAACAAGGAGTTGTAGCTAATAAGATGACAAAGGAGGTAAAATAAAATCATTAAAAAATACTAAGGAAATATAAAAGGTAGAAGATGAGGAAAAGGGGAATTAAAAACACATGAAACACATAGAAAGCACAAAGACAATATATTTAAATTTAACCATGTCATAAATCTCATTAAATGTAAATGGTCTAAAGACTCATATAAAAGACAGAGACTGTCAGATTTGATAAAAAAAAAAAAAAATCAAACATCTACATGCTGCCCCAAAGAAATATACTTTTAATATAAAAACATAAAATATACTAAAATATATAGCATGCTAACAGTAATCAAAGGAAAGCTGGATTATCTATGTTAGCATTAGAAAAATTGGTTTTTAGACAAATTATTACCACAGATGAAGACAGTAAATCCATATTGATAAGGGGTCAATTGATCAAGAGAACATAACAATCCTAAAAGTTGATGCCCCTCATTAACAGAGATTCTAAATACATGCAGTAAAAAAAGTTCCTGTATTAAGTTGATTAGGATAATGCCTCCATCTGCACCCATGTTGCTGCAAAGGCCTAGATTTTATTCTTTTTTATAGCTGTGTAGTATTTCATGTTGTGTATGTGTCACATTTCCTTCATCCAATCCACCATTTATGAGTAACTACATTGATTCCATGTCTTTGTTAAATAGGCCACTTTCTAGAAATGCATTTTATTTATTTGAGACAAATAAATTTCTCAATCACTCAAATAAATGCCTCTGTCACTCAAGTTGGAGTGCAGTGGCATGATCACAGGTCACTGCTGCCTCAACCTCCCAGTCTCAAGCAATCCTCCTGCCTCAGCCTCCTCAGTGGCTGGGACTACAGGTGCATGCCACCACACCTTGATAATTTTTTATTTTTATTTTTTAGAGACAGGGTCTCACTATGTTGCCCAAGCTGAGATGCATTTTAAACCAAAAAATACAGATAAAAGTAAACAAATACAAAAATAAAGACTCTGCAAACACCAATTATAAGAAAGCTAGAGAGGCTATATTAACAAAGTAGACTTTATAATAAGAAATATGTCCAGCAATAAAGATGGATATTTCATAATGATAAAAGAGTTAATTCATTAAGAAGATGTAAGAATCTTAAATGTATATGTACCTAATTAGAGTTCCAAAATAAATAAAGCAAAAACCAAGGGAAGCATAAAGAAAACTGACAAACACAATTTTAACTGGAGATTTTAGTACTCTTTCCTTAGTAATGAGTAGCACAAACAAGCAAAAAAGTAAGAATAAACCACACTATTAACCAACTTATCTAAATTGTACTTACGTAACACAACATCCAACAACTGCACAATCACAGTATCACTGAAATAATGGGTGTTCTGTTTCTTCTATTCCACTTAAAAACCTTATTATTATTATTTTTTGTCTTAAATGCACTAGCTCTAGCTTTCGGTGGTTTTAAATAGAAATAAACTACCACACATCTTTGTCTCGTTTCGTTTTTGAGAGAATGCTTCTAACGCTGCACCATTAAGTATGATGGTTGCTGGTTGTAGACTTTGGGATTTTAACTAGTCTTACTGTTTTAACAAAAAGAATTTTAATACGAGGATTTCTTTAATTCTTTCCTTGCTTTTTCCCTTTTCAATAAGAGTGGACCATTGCTGTGGAAGCCAGAAGACCAACAAGAGAGAGTAGCCAGTGACAGAGCTCCACATGGCTGTGAATTAGCTCATCTCCTCCAGCGAGAAAGATAGAATCTGAGTTCAGAAGAATATGCATGCTTAGGTTTGGAGAACTGAACACCAAAACAGCAAGAGTTCATTTGACTGGTGCTACCTCAAGTAATTTATATTAACTCTATTGTTAGTTATCTTTGCCAATTTTGCTGTGTTTACTTCCCTCCAATAAATATTTATTGCAGCCCAACTTTTATGCTCAATGTTGTTTGACACTGTAGAAAAACACAAAGAGATTGCATTTTCCTTTGTGAGCTTCTGTGCATTCTGACTTTGGTCTCCATGATACAGTTATCACAGGCACTGCCACCATCTCATGGGATCCTTTGGGTGGGTGTTCTTTCTCTACATTTTTGAGATCTGTATAGCCTTTTGATGTCAGCAGTAGCCTTAATGTTGGATGTTGGCCAGGGGCCAGGTTCACTTTGCAGGACATGTGGTGCTGGGCCTCAGGGCAGGGGTCTGCCGAGCAGAGGAGACATTTCTTGTTCTTGCTGCTCCAGTTGTGCCTCTGGCCTGAGATTCTTTGGGACAGCTGGGGAAATTCCTGGGCTACACGGTGGGGGTCAAATGATTCAAATTATTGGTATGGGCTTTCTTGGGTTCAGTCCAGACCCTGCAAAAAACCAAGAATAGTTGGGATGAGAATAAAAAGAGAGGAGATGGACAGAAAAGCTCCCAAATCCATCCACCAGGGTAAGGGTGAGGGTAGAAAGAGAGGATGTGGGTACATATTCAAGTCAGTGGACTTTAAGGAGGAGATGAAGTAAGAAAGGAGTGGCCAACCTCTTGGTGATGATTCTTCAAGCAAGTGCCTTCAAAGTAGCCCTGAGATGGCAAGTTGTGAGCTGAGGGGGCTTTTAGGGGCCCAAGTAGGGAGGGATCTATAAGGAAGAAGAGGGCCAAAAGGGCTAATTTGCTGTGAGGCGGCAAAATTTCCAAATCTCTAAAACTGCCTGAGTCAATGTAAATTTCAAAGCATAGATGTGTGTTGCAACACAGGTGAAAAGGTATTTATTAGACACTCCTAGAAGCTGAGGGGGTATAGCTCAGGGGTAGAGCATTTGACTGCAGATCAAGAGGTCCCTGGTTCAAATCCAGGTGCCCCCTGGAAGGAGTCTCTTTTAAGTACTGGAGACACATATTAATTAGTACCTTCAGGTTGCCCCAGGTCCTATGGCAGATTAAGGGGAGGTTGGTAGGAAGGAAGTGGAAAAAGAAGACATGGAAAGGAATCTAGTCATCTATGGGCTGGGCCAATGCAAAGTTCCAAAAGCAGGAATGTGGCTCTAGCTATGATCTTGTTATTAAGGTGATGTTGTGAACTCAGGCGGGCCTTTAATGACAGTCTTCATTTCTTCTTTCAGGCATATAACGTGCAAGTACAGACTAAAATCAAAGTTGCCAAACATGTCTCAGCACCCGAATGCCATCTGGAGATTCTGATTTGTTAGGTCTGAGAAGTTTTATTTTTCGTTCATTCCATCACCCCACATCACAGAAACACCAGATGATCTCCTGGGCTGCAAAATTTAGCAACCACTTATGAAGCACGTACCAATTATTAATGTGCAGTTTGTACCACTTGCTCAAGTCCGGAGACACAGAACACTCACACAGCAAGTTAAGCAAAGCAACTTTATTCCTCAGACAGGCAAAGGACAACAGAAGCCTGGGATTGAGGGTGAGCTGGTCCCCCAAGGCTCAGGAAGCTGCCCAGGGCAGATGGGAGTCTCACCTATGTGTGTCCCACTTCACACTGCAGCTGAGGGACCCTGAACAGCCTCTGCTCTTGGTTTTCTACCCCAATGGCAATTTGGATCATTGGGCTAAAGTGCTGTAGGGCGTCCTGTTCTAGGTGTGATGGGAACAGAGTTCGGGTTTAGGATAGTTCCTCCTTATCTCAGGACACAGCACTCCCAGCACATTCTCCAGTTATTCTGAGAACTACAACCAAGAAAAGAAGGAAGCACTGGGTTGGCCAAGGCCATCTGAGGACTTGTCCTATTGGGTCATTTAAAAAGCCTTTCTAGGATAATGTTAATGGCTTTCCAAGCTGATGTCTTTCCCATTGAGAGGAGAAGCTGTAGGCCTGTGGATTGCCAGGTTGAAGGGGGCTGGGGTTTAGAGGAAAGAGGAGAGCATGAATGGGTTGTCTGCAGTGGGGCTGTTCCTGTGGACTGACCAAGAAGAAACTGAGGTGTTGATGTGGCTGCACAGGCACTTATCAGAGACAGTTCTGGCAAGCGAAGGGTGCAACTCAAGGTAGAGCATCTGCCTGCAAGCCAAGAGGGCTCTCGTTCAAATCCATGTGCCTCCCACACCCCTTCAGTTCTCTACTTATTGAACAAAATCCTTTTCACCTCTGGGGTCTGGAACAGTGTTGCATTCTTCCTGCAAGGAAAGAAGAGAGAATAGACAGCAGAGAGCTTTGCCAGAAAGCCTCTGTAGTTTCTTGTAGGCCCCAGTGAACTTCTCCAGGCGACTCTGTCCCCTCATTAATCCTTAACCTCAGAGCCTTGAAACAGGCCTAACTGCCCCATAGAACTGAGGTTTATGGTTTTTCTTGAATAAACCTAGAAATTGACCCTCCCCTTCTTGAAATCCAAGGCAAAATTTACATTTGTGTTATCTGAGCTCCTTTCTCAGGAAACCTACCAGCAGTCTTCCCAGATAGTATCAAGAAACTGAAATTTACCAGATCCCCACATTTGAAAAGTGAGATGCCAGACCCCTCACCCATCATGACCATCTAGATGGCCACCTGCCACCCGTTGGCCAACTCCTCTTCCTTGCCCCTCCCTAATCCCTGTTTTCTCATAGGAGGCTCCACACTATGCCCTGGGGCTACTTCCCTGCCCCTTGTGTTCATGTGTGGACCCCACTATCTGCTTCATAAGGGAATCACCAGATGTGCATGTTGGGGGGCATGTTTCCCACCCGAGCAGAGCCTCCCAGTGCCCACTGGGGCAAGTGAGCTGCAACGTCTTCTCAGGGAGGTGAACAAGGTGAAATGCTTAACGCTGACTGTTGGAATCTGGGAGAAAGACTGGCAGAGGCAGTGGTTTCCCCTGTGTCTGAGGCAGTGGTTTCCCCTGTGTCTGAGTCAGTGCTCAATTATTCCTTGTGGCAGCATCCCATGGGTGACTGGCTGTTGCTCGAGAACATTCTTATTTCAAGTCAATAAAACCACATCCTTACCAAAAGAGAGACATCTGTTCAATTCACTTCTGCAAGCGGTATCAGACCTCCACGTGCAGGTTTACTGCCTCATTTTGTACCACTTGAAATTCTGATTTGGCACTCAGGACCTCTGTTGCCCAGCATGCTCTGCTGGGCTCACTGCATTTAGTCTCTCCATAGACTCAAAAGTAACAACAGCTGAAAGCAAAGATTGAAAAGAAACAAAAAATTCTAACAATTAATTTTTTAAAAAAGAAAAAACAAAAGCAAAGATCTGAACCCAATTCTGCTTAACGTTTTCTCCCCAAACAAGAATATAATAGTCCATAATAACATAATTGTAGCTGCAATCTGCTTACTCCCATAAAATATTAGCCTAAGAAACAAACACTGCTACCTTCTAAGGGGCAAATCAATTTCTTTGCAAGTTTTGAAGAGTGAGGAAGGAAGTTGGAGCCTCATGTAGGAAGCCTGGCCTTGCTCTTGCATAGCTACAGGCAGGAGCCATGCAGGAGGGAGGAGCCTCAGCACTGTCCAGCATCAAGAGTGGGCCCTGGAGTGCGTGGGGATGGGGAGCCTGGGGAGTGGAGCAGCAAGGGTGGGGCAGGGACTAGCAGGGGAACAGGAGGCCAAGGATGGAAGGGCTTTATAGTCACCACGCAGAATATGGATCCATGCAATGCAGCTCAGAGCTACCCTCTGTCCTTTTTGGCTCTCCAGGCTTCTTTTTCCCCTATGTCCTCTGCATCCAGGTCTCTCATTGGCTGGCTCCACACCAGCACTCTGGCTCTGCACCCTCCTCTCCTCCCCACTTCACCCCTGGGCCACCTGCTCTCTAGGTCCCCTCTAGGAAGGGGAACCCCGTTAGACTAACACCTCCAGCCCCCATAAGTAGCTCAGGAGGGGGATGGGCCTGCGGGGCTGGACAGCCCTGAGTCTACCTGACTTTCTGGAACAGACCTCGGGCCAGGCAGAGGCTGTGTCTGCTCTATGCTAGGGTCTATGACTTGGCCTGGTGGGAAAACAGTGCATCGTCCCCAAGATGACTACCTTTCTCCTTTAGAGGAGCACTGGGCAATTTAATTAACTCATTTTTTTGAGGACCCAAGACATATAAAACCTTCTTTTTGAGGTAATTTCTGGAAGCTGCATTCATCTGGACTTTACAATGGGAGATGAGATTTGAATGATGGTGAGGGATAAGGGCCCATGTGGGTAGGACCAAGAGGGAGAAACGGGAGCTTGGGATGAGGCACTTGCCAAAGCTGAAGCAGGCTGCATTAAGGCTCCACAGTGCATACAGATGACCCTCGTGCAATGAGGGAGTTAGGGGTGTTGACACCCCTCCGCCACGCCAACTTGCAGTCAAAAATCCAGATAAAACTTTGACTCCCCCAAAACGTAACTACTAATAGCCTACTGATGACTGGAAGCCTTCCTGATAACATAAACAGTCAACGGACACATATTTTGTATGTTCTATGTGTTATACACTGCATTCCTACAATAAAGAAAGCTAGAGAAAAGAAGACGTTATTAGGAAAATCATAAGGAACGGAAAATGTATTTACTATAGAATAAGTGGAAGTGGATCATCATAGAGGTCCTATTCTTTGTCATCTTCACTGAGTAGGCTGAAGAAGAAGAGGGAGAGGCGGGGCTGGACTTACTGTCTTGGGGCAGCAAAGGCAGAAGACCACCTCTGTGTTAAGTGGGTCCACAGTTCAAACCTGTGATGTTCAAAGTTAACTGCAGTTTTATTTACAGACTTTACAGATTCAGGACCAGGCTTCCTGGGTCAAAGAACTGAGAAGTGCAGAACCGTCTTTGCTGATTAAATGCAAGCCCAGACAAAGGGTGCTTGGACTGGAAACAAGACCTTTTGGTCTGCACTCAGCTACTATACCCTAGCACTGTCACCTGGGCTGGCCAAGCAGTATCTCTGACTCTGGGAGCTGAGTCCCATGCTCTTCTTGCCTGCGGCTCTTTCTTCACACCTAGAGTGGCTTCGGCTTACTACCCGGTCTGCTCCCCTGCTAAGAGGCCAAGCCTTGCTTCCCTTTCAGTACCGTCTTCCGGCCATTTCAGCCGGCGCTCCTCAGCCTGAAGTCTTCAGCTCCTTGGAGGGCAGGTGGATAGAGAAGCTAGAACCATTTCGTCAGATCTCACCTGGGCTCTTCTGGTACCTAGGGAGCTACTGTAATCTGAAAATCAGCTCACCTTCTGCGAATCTGATGGGTGTGCCTCTCTGTAGAAGGTACCTTCTCCAAGAGACAGTTTGTACATGTGTTGCTGACGGGGACTTAGGAAGTCCTTCAAACATGTCTGAAGGGGAAAGGTCCAGTGACTTGGTGTTTGTTCCTCCCAGCAGGACCTGAATAATCCCTGGAGAGGGGCTCTGCTGCTGGGCAGGCAGAGGCAGGGTGCGCTGGCCTAGAGCAGCAAATACTCCAGGGGCTGCATAGCCACCTCCACCCTAACGCCGGCCTTGCTGGAGACCCCCTGCCTGTCCTAATGTGGGAAGGGAGCCCTGATTAGGAAGTGTGAATAGTCCTGTAATTGGGAAGATCTAGAGTTGTGAAATAATGTTCATTTTTTGAAACTGTGTCTTTGTGTGAATTCAAACATTGCAGAAAGGTGAGACCTAAACATGGTGCTTATGATGAGACTCTGCTTGGGGGGCATCTGAGCAGCCAGCCAGCTCCCACCCTGATGATATTGCCACTGGGTTACAAGGCATGGAGTGTCTCAGGGTCATCACAGGCAGGGGTGTGCAGTGAGAATAAAACAGGAGTCATGGGCTTTTCATGGGGATCCAGAAATAATCAGACAACTGAGGCCTTTGAAGCTGGGACCGTGACTTCTGACATCACTAACAAAGCTTTAGGACTCAGGCCTAGACAGCCCCTTCTCTAACAGGACCTCACTGATAGCCAACCTGATCACGGCTTTCCTGTTCTTCTGCAAACACCTGTACCACATCACTCGTAGTTTCTGATCACTCATCACTCAACATACTCATATCTTTTATGGCCATTCTTTGTATGTCTTTTCAGCTTCCCCCTCTGCTGTCAGCTCCTTTTCCCTTTCTTGGCATCTGTTATGTTAAGCATCTTGAAAAGAGAGAATCTGACTGGTCATTATCCCTGTGCAGGCAGAACTGCAGGTCACTGGTTCACTTGTATATTAGCTGGGAAGAGAGGAAAACGTCAAAGAAACGAATCAATATCCTGAGAGAGATATGAGAAAGTATTCCATCTGTTAAACAAGACACATAAAAAGGGTCAATTATGGAACAGATAATGCTTAGAAATTATAAAAAGGATACAGGATATAAAAAATTAAATAGAAAGTTTGAAAAATAAAGTTGAGGCAGTTTCCCAGAAAGTAAAATAAAACAAAACGACAAAGGAAAATATAGTAAGAGAGATAAAAATAATAAAGTTAGAGGTTAAAACCAAGATGTGTGAAAAACAACTAGTAGGCTTGGTGCAGTGGCTCATGCGTATAATCCCAGCACTTTGGGAAGCCCAGGTAGGAGGATCACTTGAGGCCAGGAGTTCAAGACCAGCCTGGACAGTTCAGACCCCTGTTTCTACAAAGAAAAAAAATTAGTTTGTCATGGTGGGGTATGTCTGTAAGCCTAGCCATTCAGGAGGCTAAGATGGGAGCATCACTTGAAGTCAGGAGTTCAACGTTATGGTGAGCAACACCCTGTCTCAAAACAAACAAACAGCCCTTTGTCAGATGGGTAAACTGCAAAAATTTTTTCCCATTCTGTTGGTTGCCGATTCACTCTAATGACTGTTTCTTTTGCTGTGCAGAAGCTGTGGAGTTTGATTAGGTCCC